TATATATATATATATATATGTATATATACATATACATATATATACATTTATATTCAATATATGTATATATTGTGTGTACACACATACACACACATACACAGACATATATATGTATATTTACACATATTTATATGTATGTATATATATTTGTATATATATACACACATTTATATGTATGTATATATATATATATATTATATATATATATACACACATTTATATGTATGTATATATAAATACATACATAAACACACACACACACGCACACACACACACGTAATAACTTCGTATAGCATACATTATACGAAGTTATACGAGTGTGTGTGTGTGTGTGTTTGTGTGTAAACATAAATATGTATATGTATATATATATATATAATATATATATATATATAATATATATATATATATATGAATCAGTGTTACTGTCCATTAACCACTCACACTACATATATAGGCCCTAAAGATGTAAGTACGTAATAACCAACCTGAGTTTGATACTGCGTCTGGTACTGTGTCTGGTACTGTGTCTGGTACTGTGTTTGGTACTTCGTCTCTGTGAAATACTGCGGAGTTGCAACTGTGGTCGTGACGACATATGTTTGACAAGCCTGAAATAAATAAATCTTCAATGAGACATACTTTATAAACATATTTTCCTATACCATACAATTGAGCATATTAATCTGTCAATGTTATTTATTTTGAACATTTACTCGCAACCAGATTGATAATGTCTGTGATTCTGATAAAGAACCTCTTCATCGTGCAACCGTAGGAACTGTCAACACTCCTAAATGTACTCAAAGAAGTAAACAAATATACACCGCAATACAGACATCCCTAAGTATACAAAACGTAAACAAATATGTTCAAGAACCAATCTATAACTCAAGAGTGCTCTCTGCTTACTTGCTGTTGAGGTCTGGCACCATAACTTGGGACCTGTGGCACAGGTGCTCCGTAGTTTGCTGCAGTTGGCACCATCAACACCGCCACCAAGCACGATCCTAATAAGTACCTGGAAAATTCACGGAACTGATAACGATCCTTATGGATAAATTATTCTGCTTTTTTTCACTGATCCTCTTTGACATTTTCTATGATTTCAAATGGCATTCAATCAGTATTATATTACGTATTGGTGTGTGTACTTCAACACTTTCGCCTTACAAAGAGAAATACATTCCTACCTAATCATGTCAGCTGTAGTTTTCGGATCGGTGTTGTGTCCTGGGCTGCTCAAGATGTTCTGGCTTCCCCGCACCGCTGGTCTGGAATATATACTGAATGGATGAGTCGTTCCGTTTTCTGTTGTCCCGGATGTAAACAACGATCACACATTCACTCTAGTAACATCTCAACAAGGTATCATAATATTTACCGCAATCAGAAGTAATTCACAACGACAACAAAAGAATCAAAGCAGGAAAAATGATCAAAGAAATGTGTTTTCAATTGTATTCACCAGCAAGACATGCCTCTTGGCAACTCGAAACTGGAAATCCCACCTTCCATCACACTGCCTTAGCAACCATGACCACCTGTACCGTTTATGACACACGCGCAGAAGTTCCCAATGACGAATGGGTTTCTTTAAGGGGGGCGGGGGCAGTAATGAACGTTTGGGTGATTACGTGGACTAAGCCTATCCTCCTAACTGATGATTATCTGAGATGACTTGTTTGCTCTGGGTTTGTGCAGAATCTTTATCTAGCTCTGATGTCGGTAAGAAGCGTTGTGATGCGGTATGCGACCATATAAATATCCAGAACTATTTCCAGCCGGGAAAAATTTATTAATCAAATCTGAGATACATATTCGTTATAATGTGAAATAGGAACACAAACACACACACACACACACATATATATATATATATACACAAACACACACACGCACACACACACACACACTCGTATAACTTCGTATAATGTATGCTATACGAAGTTATTACGGTATACATATACATATATATACATACATACATACATACATGCATATATATTTATATATGTATGTATATATATGTATATCTCTGTGTGTTTGTGTATATATATATATATGTATATATATATATTTATATATATGTATATATATACATACATATATAAATATATATGCATGTATGTATGTATGTATGTATATATATATGTATATATACATATACATATATATACACATATGCGTGCGTGTGTGTGTTTGTGTATATACTTGGTGTGTTTGTTTTGTGTGTGTGTATGTTTTACGTGTGTGTGTGTGTGTGCGCGTGCGCGTGTGTGTGTGTTTGTGTGTGTGTGTACATATACATATATATAGCATTATCGGAAGCGTTGGAACTCGTATAACTTCGTATAATGTATGCTATACGAAGTTATTACGGTATACATATACATATATATAGCATTATCGGAAGCGTTGGAACTCGTATAACTTCGTATAATGTATGCTATACGAAGTTATTACGGTATACATATACATATATATACATACATATATAAATATATATGCATGTATGTATGTATATATATGTATATCTCTGTGTGTGTATATCTATCTATGTATGTATATATACCTATATATATATATATATGTCTATATGTATGTGTATGTGTGTGTGTGTGTGTGCGCGTGCGCGTGTGTGTGTGTTTGTGTGTGTGTGTACATATACATATATATACACATATGTGTGCGTGTGTGTGTGTTTCTGTTTGTTTGTGAGTGAATATATACGAATACACACCGATTTTATGCAGGACCGATACTACTGTGAAGCACCTATATCAAAATCACCAAATGCTATTCGATATTAACTACAGAGATAATCAAACCACCAAACCGCCGGGCTACAAAGGCACCCTAGGTAGTCCTTGAGGGTAATTCCCAAGCCGAAGGGAAGATCAAGGGACAGATGGTTACACAATGTCCTTCGATAACCGGGAACTACGGCGTTTGATCCTGTTCTATTAGGTCTGTCTGCTTTCTTGTTGCCATTATCGTGATTGTTATATTGTTACTGTTGTCTTGTTCTTGTAGTTATGATTTGTATGAATGGTTAAGATTGTTATTGTTATTTTTATAATTGTCTTCAGCATTATGTACACCCTCATTTCCAAATGATTACTATGATCATTCAAGGAAACTTCACAGTGTCAAAAATTATTTTAATCCTACCTTTAACTTTAGATTAATTTGTAAACAGAATGAGAAAACGAAGTGACATGCCTACGATACATTTCACGAGCAATACAGTACTGCAATCTATAGATACCTCCATATATTGATGAAATGCGCAGACACCAGTAGGAATTTATACTTGTGGGTTTTACACACACACACATGTATATATGTATATGTATACACATATACATATATATAGCATTATCGGAAGCGTTGGAACATACAAAAATACTGCAAAGGATATTTTAGTACTTTGTACCAGAATAAAATTTCCCATTATAACAAACAAATATAGTATGTAAGATAGAGAGAACCTTATGTGATCAGTCCTCCATACAAAGTTTACGTGCGTCAAGGCGTCTCCGCGTCACAGTGAGAGATGCATGGCTTGGCACGGGCGTCATGCACATACACCTTCTCTGACTTTTATGACTAGGGAACGACGAGCTCACAACAGCAACATGACTCCCGTATTGTTCGCTCATGTATAAAAAGGGTTCATGATCGATGAACGACCGGAGGTAAAGGAACCTATTGCGACGTAGAAAATGCCTTCCAGAAACACGGAAAATCCTTTTACCTCAACTGCGAAGTCATTATGATACTCATGTTTGGTTTTGTTCTTCCTTTGGGAGGAAGTGCTATGATAAAGGACGTTACTCGAATAAAGTGGATAGCATCAATACACCGATGAAATTGTTACAGGGTAAGTCCCAGTCTATATTGTGCTTATGTTTACAGACAAACAAACAAGCACACAAACATATATATACATACACAGTGTGTGTGTATATATACATATATATCTATATATACATATATATGCATATATATATATATATATATATATATATATGTATGTATGTATATATATATANAGATTTATACTTATATGGTATATATATATATATAATTTATTATATATAATTGATATTTTATCTATTATTACTTATATGTAATGTATGTTATATATATATTGTATATAATATATACTTAATACTATATTTATATATATATTAGTATATATTATTATATATTATATGATTATATAATATGGTATGTATATTGTATATATGTTATATATATAAATTATATATATTAATTATATAATATAATATATTATATACATATATTATACTATATATAACACACATATATATATGCATATAATATTAGCAACATATAATATGCATATTATATATAACATACACACACCACCACACAGCAACACACACACACACACACACATTACTATATATATATATATATATATATATATATATATATATATATATATATATTATTAATATATATATATATATATATATATATATATATATATTATATTTGATGTGTGTGTGTGTGGTGTGTGTGTGTGTGTGCTGTGTGTGTGTACAACAACACACACACACCACAAACACACACACACACACACAAACACACACACACACACAAACACACACACACACACACACAACACACACATATATATATAACTGCACTGACCAGTGCCCCGGGGACCCATAACCCAAGCCTCCTTCCCCCTGAAATTCACCCAACCAACTCAAATGAACTCACATCCACTCCCAAACAATAGCCATATAGCAAAAACCTACGGAAAGTCAGATCCAAGAACTTCCATCTGAAGGCGGGGCCAGTGCAGATACATCACTCCTTTTCTCTTTCCATCCCTCACTCCTTCTCTCCTTCCATCCCTCACTCCTTCTCTCCTTCCGTCCCTCACTCCCTCACTCACTCATTCTCTAAGTGCAATGTTTATTCCCTTCCTCATCCCTTCCCTCCCTGTTTATGCCCAATTTAGCGGTTTTGAGGTTCTAGAAAAAAAAAGTTCCAGACTAGGTAGGAACATGAAACTTCGGGGTCTGAACCTAGTCGGGCCAATGCTCAAGAGTTGCAAGTGGAATCGGCCCAAGAGAAGGACGAGATACGAGGGGGTCAAGCCCGACCGTTATTGGGACGTACATACATACATACATACATATAGAGGTACGATAAATTTAGAAACAAAATATCTCGAGAATGGAAATAGATAGAGAGATGGTTGACCACTCGTTCGAAAGCTTATATAAAGCTGCATGTTTTCTTGGGGTGGGTGACTTCTGAACATTTTGGCAACACGCCAAAATTTTTATTTTTATCCGTTCGTCGCCTCTACAGCTGTTCAGGTGTGAGTTGGTTGATTGAGTTGTGGTGGTAGGATGGGTGTGGGCTGTAGGTGGGTCGGAGAGGGGGCGGTAAAGTTTATTTTATTATTTGTTTGGGGGTATGCCTCTGGGCATGTTAGTTATGATCATTATTATCATTATCTTTACTATTATTATCATTGTTATTTTTTTACAATGTAAAATATTCCCCATCATGTGGAGATCTTTCTGTCTCTTTCTCTTTCTCCCTCTCTCTTAAGCTCTTTCTCTCTCTCTCTCTCTCTCTCTCTCTCTCTCTCTCTCTCTCTCTCTCTCTCTCTCTCTCTCTCTCTCCTCTCTCTCTCTCTCTCTCTCTCTCTCTCTCTCTCTCTCTCTCTGACAGTCTCTCACCCTCTTTCTATGTCTGTATTTCTTTTTCTCTCCAACATGGGAAATGACCCTGATGAAAGGGAATATTTCTCATCATTGGGTCGGAATTGTTTAATCATTATTATTATTATTATTATTATTATTATTATTATTATTACTATTATTATCATTATTACCATTACCATTATTACTATTATTATTATTATTATTATTATTATTATTATTGTTCTTGTTATTATTTTTGTTGTTGTTGTTGTTATTATCAGCTCTCTTATTATTATTATTAATGCCATTATTATTACTACTATTATTATCATTACTATTAGCATGCTTAGGGGCGAGCCCCCCTCCTCCAACGCCCCTTAAACGGCCCACTAATCCCACGCCCCCGATCCACGACCAACCACAACTCAATCAATCACATCACGCCCGAATCAATAGTCCTGAAGCTGCAGAGGCAACAGATAGAGAGAGAGGGAGAGAGTGAGCGAGAGAAAGAGAGATAGAGAAAGAGGGAGAAAGAGAGAGAGAGGGGGGGGAGGAGAAAGAGAGAGTTCACACACACACACACACACACACACACACACACACACACACACACACACACACAACACACACACACACACAACACAGCACTTGCAAACTGATCCAGAGCTCCCCCATAAAAACGTTCTACATTAGCTGCAGTGCAACTATAGTGACTGTCCCAATTTGCAATTTGTGCGGCAATAGCATAGATGACGAAAACGTTTCTCTCTCTCTCTCTCTCTCTCTCTCTCTCTCTCTCTCTCTCTTTTAATATGGATCATTCTTGTTATCATTAT